GCAAGTTGTTTTTGGTATTTATCATCTGGAAGCCAATTAGGGAGGGCAGTGCATACTGATAGTACTTGTCTGTAAGCCCCTCTCCTGGAAAAAATCCAAACCACCATTCAATCACACATTTCCAAGCGTGGTCTTCACAATTCCCTCCCTGACAATTAACAATACTTTGTCTTTTCCACCAGGGCCAATTCTTAATTCTTTTGTAGTCAGGAATCCCTGGACTTTGGTGGTTTCAGCGGAGCGGGGGATCCTTCTTCTTTCTTGGAACAGCCGTGGCCCACGAACTCTAGCACAGTCAAGGAGAAGAGGCATTGATTCTGCTGCTGCCACACGAACACCATCATGGAAATAGAATTTCAACAAAGGAACCATCAGTTTTACAACTTGCTCTGTGTACTCCACAAATCCTTCTTTTAATTCCTTAGCATAGCAAACCAGCATCTGGCATGCAGTTGCTTTTTCTTCAAGGCCTGCAGTTTTAATTCCAAAACTTTGCTGGTCTCCTAGGTTTACAAATTCCCAACCATCATCATCACTCATATTCTCCATATCTTGGGTGTCTAGTAGAGCAACTTCAGGCTTAATTGACGCAGTCTTCATTAAAGGCCCCATGACGACAGGAAGGTACTGCTGAAATTCTTTTCCAAGGATTTTGCACATTCTAGCCCATGCAGAGATCATGTAAGATATCTGGGGGTCATCATCTTCCAGATCACTGAAGTCTGTCTGCGTCTTCAGCAACAGCTGCATCACATCTGATGCATCCTGCATAAACTTTTCCTTACCAACGGCAAGGCCAATTAGGCTGATGCATTCAATAGTTTTTCCTCTTAAAAGTCTAAGTTCCTTCTGTACAGCATTCTCAACAATGTGTTTTAGAGAGGGCATAAATAAGTCATAGTAGGGAACAAATTTCTCCTCTGCTGTATCTGCAACTGATGCAATGGAAGTCACAACTTGTTCCAAAACCAGCTTAGTGCCTTTCTGTATTAACTCCTGTAATTTAATCACCATGGTGGAATGAAGATGCTTCACTAGATTATCCAGATAGGGAATAAGCAGTGATTTCGGACAATCTTCAGTAAAGTTAATGAGTGCAGCAGCTGCATGAGCCTGAACACGCTGGTTGCCTTGATCTTCCATGGTTTGCAGAAGAGCTGCAATTACCTTCTCGTGGAATTTCTTTTGGAAACCAGGGGCAAAGTCTGTAGCCATTTGTCCAACTGCATTACAGGCTGCAGGGGAGAGGTTACTAGCACATCACCCTGTAATGGTTTGGTTCTTCTAGCAAAGTCCAAATGCATGGTAGGTCTGTCAGTGGACAAGGGAGAGGTTACTAGTACTTCACCTTGTCCTTTTTTCCTGCTGTCCAGAAGAAACAGCAGCACCAGGAGGAGAGAGAGACCGATCATCAGTCTGAGAATTATCCTGATGTGGAGGGGTCCCCCTGCAGCAAGAAGCATGGGTCCAGGCAGTCCAGGCACCCCACAGCTGTGTTGGTAGTTAACAGAACTTGGTAAGGGTCTCTCCAGGGCAGGGCCAGGGCAGCCTTTCGCTGATGGACCTTTATATAAACCCAGTCTTCTGGTCCCAGCGAGTGGCAGGGTTGCTTAGGATTCTTGGGTAGTAGGTCTTATACACAGGTAAAAGAAGCAACACAATTCATTAGTGCCTGGGGATAAGTAAGCATTGTGTCATCCATTAAATGAATGTCCAGCTGAGCCAGGGCCAGTGGGGGTGCAGCCGGTAGTTGCATCAGGTGTCCTATTAGAATCTTATGAGGGCCGAGTCCCGTCTTTCGATTGGAAGTGGCCCTCATAGTCATTAATGCTAATGGGAGGGTATTTGGTCACATTACATTTGTTTTAGCACAGATTTTGGCCAATTTATTTTTCAAAATCCCATTTTGATGTTTCACTGTCCCGGCAGTGGAGATTGTGTTGGATCTGTAAAGCTGCACGTAACTTGTTATAATTTGTCCAGTAAAATTAGGTCCACAATCACTGTTGCTACTCACAGGTATGTCAAATTGTGGTACAAAATCCTTAAACAAAGTTTTACAACAGTTTTGGCATTTGCCTTTTTACGGAAAAAGGCCTAAACACAGTTGGAAAATACATGAACTAAAACTAACATATTCATAATTACAACATTTAAACATTTGAATAAAATCAATCTGGATATTCACAAAGAGATTTGCAACTTGGGACAGCGGCTGGCTCAGGAAAGAGACAAGCTGGAAGAAGAAATGAAGTTGGAGCACTGATGCTATCATTCCTCCTTTTGCTCACATAGGCCATTCTGGGGGACCAGTGCATGTAAGAAAACCCCTGTACTTCCAAAGTAAACCATAATTAGGTACCGCTCCAAAGGCATCGCAAGAATCTGTATAAACAGTAACTGCTTGATCCTGAGCTGAAATGCAGGCTTGATCAAAGCTGTAAGCTCAGTAACCTGGGTTAAAACACAAAAGGAAAAGGCACATACAGCACAACCAACAACCAATTTTACACTTAGGATTTCTCATGCCCAAGCCCTCCACAAATAAATGAGATCAGGATTCTGCAAAGGCATATAATGGGGAAGTTACACGTACTGATCATAGAAATAATGGCTTTAAGGAGATGATTACTGGTTAAATTTCTTTCTCAGCCTGTTTTGGTAGAGAGTACTGCTGCACCTTGGGAAGGGGTCTTGCTGGGTTCAGGTGAACTTTGTCTGGTTGGCAGGGGCGGCAGGTTATATGGGCTCGTGGTGCCCGAGCACCAGGAATATTCAAGGCTGGGGGCTGTGCTCCACCAATATCTGGAGCTGGGTTTCTCCCCTGGCCCTGCCTGGAGCGGGCCCCAGACCCCGCAGGCCACCCCCCGAGTGCTTCCCCCTGCCCCGGAGCTTCCCTGCCTGAAAGAAAAGAGCCCGGTGCCTCTCCCTTGCTTGCTTCTGCTTTGCTGCTGGCTGCCGCTGCTTCTGCCTAAGGGCTATAGCACAAGAGCAGCAGGAGGGGGAGGAGGCACACACATGTTTGGCAGCCCCCCTCCCCTCCCCCGGCAACCACCTGGAGGAGACGCCAATGGACTTCCTGCCAGGAGAGGGACATCTGGAGTGGATCTCACTCAACTGAGAAGCTGCTGGGGCTTCAGTGAGTGTTTGATCCTGTGATCCACACACACACCCCTGCAGCCCCCACTCCTGCCCAACGCTGGGCAATGGGCAGCCCCATCCCCCACCCCCGGTGAGGGGCAGCAGGCTGCAGCACGGGAGGAAGGAAGCCACATGTGATGGCAGTCCCCAACCCCCCCAGCACCCACCCACCCACCACAGGGGAGATGGGTTTCCTAGACCTGAACAGTTGGGGCTTGGGTGAATTTTGTGACCCCTCCCAGCCACCCCCCTGCAGTCCCCACTCCTACCCCACACTGGGCGAGGGGCAGCCCCATCCCCAGTGAGGCAATGGTGAGGGGCAAGAGCAGGGGAGGCCACACATGCAGGGCCGGCGCTTCCACTAGGCAGTCGCCTAGGGCGGCAGAATTTGGGGGGCAGCATTTTGCCATCCTTGGCGGAAATGAGGCGGCGGGGGACTTTGGTGGAAATTCGGTGGCGGGGGGCTCCTTCTGCTCCGGTCTTTGGTGGAAATTCAGCAGCGGGGGGTCCTTCCTCTCCGGGACCCGCTGCTGACATGCCCCGAAGACGCAGAGCAGAAGGACCCCTGCCGCCGAATGCTCAGAGGAGGAGTGTTGCCGCCTAGGGGAGCAAAAACCCTGGCAGTCCTCCTGCACATGTGATGGCAACCCCCCACCGCCGCTACCCACCATAGGGGAGGTAAGTGGGCTTTCTGGACCTGAGAGAGGCCCTAGGAGCATGTGCAGTGACCATGATGCAGAGTGAGTGTGCTGAGGGGGGAGGAAGAGGAGGAGTCCCTCCCCCGAGCTTGCGGCTGCCAGTGTGTGTGTGGGGGGGGGGAAGTCCTCTCTGGCCCTAGCCCTGGGGCAGCCTGTCTGCACCCCAAGTTTCTTATCCCCAGCCCTGCCCCACCCCAGAGCCTGCACCCCCAATCCTGAGCATCCTCCTGCACTGTGAACCCCTCATCCCAAGCCCCACCCCAGAGCCCTCACCTGAGGGGAAAAACACACAACTTAAAGTTGGTGGTCAGTTTGGAGTATCATTGTGTTTAGCCCAAGTTCTGGGCCTCTTCCCATTTCCCGAGCCAGCTCCAAACTGACACTCCCTCCTCTGGCCTTTGTCTCTCTTCTGGACAAGGAGGCCACCTGATCTTTGTCCCCAACACCTTCAGTTGGCACCTTGCAGGGG